CTTTGCAGTTGCACAAATGGAGACCCAATCCCAAACCCAATTTCCATAGATCCGGTATTTTTATTAGACTGTTTGTTATTATCAACACCCTTTCCCTCAAAACCATGAGTAGTTATAGCTCGCTAATCAGCGCCATGTCTTTTCTTTTTCTTCTTCTTCTTCTTTAATAAGAAATTTTGACTGTAATTCTGTAGCTCAAAGTTGAACCACTTTTTGCCTCTGTTTGGGTGAATCGTTCTTCATGGGGTAAACTGGCGATCTTGTTAGCTGGAAGAAACACGAAAACAAATACATTCATGTTCCAGCTAATTTTTAAAAAGAATTTTTCCTAGGTTCTTGGGAAATAATTTTATATTTTATAATTTAAATTATATTTTTTTTTGCACAGCAAAAGGTATTTGATTATATAGAGTACAAGGGGTACTCCTGCCCATAATACAAAAACAAGGATAGTATTGAGCATCTACTGACTCTGACTTAATTCCAAGTAGAGTCAATTAGTTGCTCAATGCTTCCTATGTAATTACAGTGAGTATAGATCCATCAATTTCCTCTAAACAGTGAGGATAATCCTACCAAGCATAGCACAAGATTCTATATCCTACTTCCTACCGCAGTTATCTTTAAGACATGCTATAGGATTGATTAACCAATCAGAAAAATTAAACAAGCTTCTGGGTTTCTTTGTTTTAATCCACAAAAAAGATTTTAGTTGAATGTGGTCGAGCAACTTACTTTTGTTCACGTCGAAATCTCGAAATACCTTTTGATTTCTCGTGAGCCATATTGACCACACCACTATGTTCCAGACACAGTCCCAGCCTTCCTTTACATGTTACTTCTTAGCCCAGCCCCTAAATTGTTCAAAGGATGTCCAGCAATCTGATTCTAAAGTGACGGTAATTCCCCACCATTTCCCACAGGCCTTCCACAACCATTTAGCTATCCTACACTTCAAAAAAAGGTGCTGGGCGTCCTCGATCTCCCTTTCGCACAAAACACAATTTTCCTCACCCAAAGCATTAATAATCCCTCTTCTTTGCAAATTACTCTTTGTTGGTATTCTATCCTGCACCAGTTGCCAATTAAAAGCAGAGATTTTGCTCGGAATGGTAAGGTTCCATATTCTCTTGTAAGTTGACAGTGTGCCCAGTGCATTTTGCTCCTTTGCTAATATTCTGTATGCTGTTTTTGTTGAGTAGTTGCCTTCCTTGCTATGTTCCCATTTCCATGCGTCTGGCATGCCTGGATATAGCTGCACGCCATCAACCTTTCTTTGCACTTCCGCAGCTTCTTCTCTTTCCCAATCAAATAGGGCTCTCTTCCACTTAAGATTCCACTTCCATGTTCCATTTTCCTCATAACCCATTTGGCAACATTCTTTGTCCTTTCCTGTTGATAAAGAGTACAATCTCGGGAAAAGATTAGCAAGGCTTCCTTCCCCTCCCCAATTGTCCCACCAAAAACTCACTCCCTTTCCTTCTCCTAATTTTAACTTAAACCCTTCTGTTAACCACCCTTCGCACTCCTCGTCCACATAATTAAGGCAACACACATCCCTCCACCATAGTGATCCTATTCCCCTTCCCTCTCTCACCCACTCAAACCAGTTACCTCCTCTCCCACCATACTTACTTTCTATTACCTTATCCCACAGGCCCTGTTCTTTTTTTGCTAACCGACCCCACCATTTCCCCATCAAAGCCAAATTAAACTTCCTCATCTCTTTCACTCCTAGTCCCCCATCTTGTTTGCTTTTACAGACCTTTTCCCATTTAACCTAATTAATTTTTTTACCCTCTCCCTCTCCTCCCCATAAAAAACTTTTATGAATTTTATCAATAGAGTGAAGAATACCTTTAGGCAGTAGGTAAACTGACATCAGAAACACGGGCAAGCTGAACAACACGGAATTAATGAGCGTTATGCGACCCCCAAAGGAGACATGTCGGCCTTTCCATGGAGCTAGTTTCCTTTTCACAGATTCAACCAATGGTTGCCACATTGCTAATTTTCTGTGATTCCCCCCGATAGGGATCCCAAGGTATTTAAAAGGGAGATCCTCACCTTTACAATATAGTCTACATGCCATTTTTTCTTTCCAACCTTCCTCTAAATTAACACCCATCAGCTGACTTTTAGCATAATTGATTTTTAGTCCTGAAACCAGCTCAAAGGACCTCACTATGCATTTGATAGCCCAAATGTTTTCTTCGCTTGCCTCCCCAAAAAAGATAGTGTCATCTGCAAATTGTAGGTGTGAAACCATGGCCTCTTCGCTGCCCACCGTTACACCCTTGTACAACTTCTTTTCAACAGCTGCAGTCACCATTCCATTCAATCCTTCAGCCACAATGAGGAATAGAAATGGGGATAAAAGATCCCCTTGGTGTATACCTTTTGTGACCATGAACTGTCTTGTCGGGCTTCCATTAACTATAACTGATACCGAGCTCGATCGGAGGCATTCTTGTATCCAACTTCTCCAAGCTTCACAAAAACCCATTCTTAGCATCATATAATTTATGAAACTCCAGCATACCTTATCGTACGCTTTTTCGAAGTCAACTTTAAAGAGGAAGGATTTCTTCTTGTTCCTTTTGGCCTCGTTAATCACCTCATTTGCAATCACTACCCCTTCTGCTAGTTGTCTTCCTCTAATAAAAGCCATCTGCTGCTCCCCAATCACCTTATGAATCACCTTCCCCAATCTATTTGCAAGCAGCTTTGCTAGGATCTTGTACATTACCCCAATGAGTGAGATGGGCTTGAATTCTTCAATTTTTGGGGGGTTTTCCACTTTGGGGATTAGGACAATGAATGAGGCATGTGATCCTTTGACAATCTTGCCTTGCTTATGGAACTTATGCACAAACCCAACAATATCGACTTTAATATCTTCCCACATAGCCTTTACAAAACTGAAATTGAATCCATCTGGGCCTGGGGATTTTGAAGATTCACAATCCCATATTGCTTCCTTAATTTCTTCTTCAGAGAAGGTTGCTGTTAGGATGTCATTGTCGGCTTCAGATATCTTATTGAATCTGATGCCATCTAGCTTTGGTCTCTTCCATTTCTCTTCTGTAAATAATTCCTCAAAATATTTGGCCACCTTTTCCTTTATTTTTGCCACCCCTGTATGCTGGTCACCTTTGATTTGAATACTAAGAATTTCATTCCTTCTACTTCGTCCTTTCACACATGTATGAAAATACTTTGTATTTGCGTCCCTTTCTTTTAGCCACATTTTTCTTGATTTTTGTTGCCACATGCTTTCTTTGATTTTTATGTTCTTCCACAATTCTAGAAAGTAATTTTTTCTTTGTTCCACGTCTTGTGGAGAGAGTTGGCCCTTTTCTCCTTTTTCATCAATTGCGGCTATCTCCTTTTCAGCTTCTTTAACCTTTCTGTCCACTTCTGATATGGCATTTCTGCTCCACTGCTTTAGCTTATTCTTAGTTCTTTTCAACTTCTCCTTTAGAATGTACCCATTCCACCCCATTACCTTGGTAGAATTCCACACTTCTGTGATTATCTCCTTGCATCCCGGTTGATCCAGCCAAGCGTTGAAGAACTTGAATGGTTTTGGACCCCAATCTATGCTCTCATTTTTCAACAGGATAGGGCAGTGGTCCGATACTGATCTGCTTAAACCCCATTGTTTCACATCACTCCAATTCAAGATCCACTCCTCCGACATCAAGAATCTGTCAATTCTGCTCATGTATTGCCCATTGGAGTTATACCAAGTATATTTCCTTCCCGCCAAAGGTAGATCTATTAGGCCTGTATTTAGTATGAAATCATCAAATTCCCTCATTTCCCTGGTTATTTCCCTGCTCCCTGCTCGTTCTTCTACTTTTCTCACTACATTAAAATCCCCTGCTAAACACCACTTCCCCCCTTTGCTAGTGATTAATCTCTGTAATTCTTCCCATAATGCTTTTTTACCCATCAGCAAGCATGGAGAGTAAATATTGATTATGTAAACTACAGTGTCTTCCTCTCCCCACAACCCGCATACTCCCAAATAATTTTCCCCTTCAATTACCCCATTCTTTCTGAACACTTTTGAGTTCCAAACAGAGAGCAACCCTCCTGACCTTCCATTTGATGCCTTCGCAACCCAATCAAAATCATCTGTCCCCCATACCCTTCCACATAAACTCCTATTCGCATTCTCCAACTTAGTCTCCTGAATTGCCATAAACTCTATTTTTTCTTTCATTACTAATTCTCTAAGTTGCCTTTATTTTCCAACCCCTCCAAGCCCTTTAATGTTATATGACAACAGAATCATTTAAATTTTTTCTTACCCTCTTTGATGCCTGTCACCTCTGTCATCACCATGTTTGTTTTCTCCTTTTTATCTCGTTTCTCCATTTCATCAATTCTCTGGGTAACCTGCTGTTCATTTTCTGCCACCACCCCTAGGCTTTTCGCAAATTCCCAAATGTCCTCCGCTAGTTGTTCTTGCCTTTGCCTCTCCACAAGTCTATTACAGTTCAAGATTCCACCGTCTCCAATTGATTCCCCAGCTATTTTACTAGTAGAAGACAAGATGAGTGCCGGTGTTACCTTTCCTTCCTTTCCTTGAGTTTGATTCCTTCCTTGGGAGTTCCTTCTCTGGTTTCCTACACCAGCATCTGCAGCGTTGGAGTACAAAGATTTGCAAGAACGACTTTTCCTTTTCTTCCTCTTCCGGATCTGCTCTATCCGCCTGCACATCCAGTGTTTCAGTCAGCCCTCCTCACTTTCGAATCCCTTCCAGAATGGATCTATTTCTTCTTCCTCGGTAACATCCTCCTCTGTTTTTTGAGATATAAATTTTTCTCTTTTTTTGGGTCCGAATGGGCTTGTCATTGATTGGGCCGAACCCATGCGGCTGCTTCCTCACACACCCTCCTGGACGCATGCTTGTTGTGCTCTTCACTTAACCTTCTGCTGGACTATTCTTTCAAGCCCACCTTTACCTCATCCTCTTTGCGTGTTTATGTTAACCTTGCCTCTTCCCCATGCTCTTGCGTCACATCCAGCCTCCCTATATTATCTGCTCCTGCTTTTGAATTTTGAATTTTGACTAGGCTGTCATCAACTGCTTCGATTGACTTCTCTTCACTTTGGCTATCTTGTGATTGAGACTTTTTTTTTTTTTTCCCCTTCCACTCGCCACCTCATCATCTTCTTTCCCTGCATCTGTGCTTCTCACTTCACCCGGTTCCTGGGTTTTTTCAACCCCTTCCTCCATGGCATCCAAATCAGTACCCAGTGACCATGATTCGTGATCCTCTGAATCACTATGAAATGAGGGTATGAAATCTTGTTTCAAGGAGAAAAAGCTGTTGGTAAATTCTTCCTCTTTAAACTTAATATTGAACAACACCCCATTGACTTTAACTTGGCGTGTAACTGTAATTGTATCCATAATTGGAGTTGAGATCAGAAATCTGGCTATGTCAAACCTCCTTTTGTTGCTTGTGCTATCATCTAGACAAATGAATTTCCCCCAAGAGCTGCCCATTTTTTCAAAGAATTCACACCCCCAAGCATTTAAAGGTGCCCCATGACACCTAATCCACACAAACCTTTCTTGAGCTACCAAGTTTGGTTTCCAAGGTCGAACTTCTTCAAACCGTTGTCCAAGCCAATCTGCAGCCATTTCAACTAAGTCCTTTAGCTCTTCTTTATCCTCACAGTCCAGCAAAACCAGTTTACCCCCCATTGCTCGGACTCTACATGAGAAATACCCCTCCATGTAAAACTTCTCCTGCAAATTTCTAACCATTTCAACTAAATGTGCCGTCCCCACATAACAGCCTTCTAACCATGCATATTCTTCTTCTTTTATGTTGTATTCTATCCCGGCCCAACTTGCTCCCTTTCCTTTTTCTTTCCATATTTTTCTACTTTCATTAATACCATTATCCTCATTGTTTCTGATCACGCCTCTTCCATGCCTTCTCGTCTGATCTACTTTGGATTCCTTTTTACTCACCCCTTCCTTTGTTCTAGCTCCCTGTCCTTGCAGAACCTTGGCATAGGTCCTGCTCTGATATTTTGGTGTCATTGTTTGTCCATTTCTCCCCTTCTTTTCTTCTTTCTTCTCATCATCATATCTTGGAATATTAACCCATAGCTCTTGATCTCCTACCCATATCTGATCAAGCTGCCTCTCCAGCTCCCTTTTATCAATAACATTGAGGAATCTTACAAATCCGAACCTGCCTCCACTTCTACTTTTTCTGTTTGGACTATAGATATCATAAACCCTTCCGAACTTTAAGAAGGTTCTCCACATGTCTGCGTAGCTCCATTATTCAGGGAAGTTGGTGAAGAAATAAGGAATGGCTTGTTTGTACAAGCCCTTATCATATAATCCCAGTTTTTGCACCCTCTGGTTCCTTTGTACCCCCTGTTCCCACTGCCTTTGGTTTGCTGGCTCATGACCTCTCTGTGGGCTTCTTCCTCTGGATCTTGCATACTCTCGATTCCATGATGTCCGTGTTGCCCGTGCTCGTCGTCCGCCTCCTACTCCTCTCTCTCTCTCTCTACCTCTCTCTCTCATCTTGCATTAAAGTCAAGCGATTTCTATTTCTCTTTTGTTTATAATTTAAATTATATGATTAAATAAAAATTATTAAAGAGAGAGGAGTCCAATGCGAAGGATTATTTTTTTATATAATAATTAATATGATATAAATTAGTACATTCAAAGTGCATTTTGAATTAGGAAGAAGTAAAAAAATATTTTAATTTTTATAAGTGAAAAACATAAATTTATTGAAAACAAATTTGCTTGACTGTTGACCGGTTGACCCATCTTACTTTCATGTAATCATATGCCTTCGTTTCTCCTAAATTCTGAAAATGGCAAGGGAAAGGCCTCAGATCCTTTCAGCCTAAACACACAGGTCGATGTCTTCCCCTCGACGCTGAAAACCCATCCTTTCGGTCGGCCCCGCAGCAGATCGGCTGACAGTGCTTTCTATGGTGGTGTCCTTGCTCTACCTCTCATCCTGTAAGTCAAGATTTTAGCAAATATTTATGTTACTGTTTCTTACTTTATATATGCTTTGCTGTTGCACAAATGGAGACCCAATCCCAAACCCAATTTCCATCGATCTAGTATTGTCATGAGACAGTTTGTTGTCATCAACACCCTTTCCCTCAAAACCATGAGTGGTTATAGCTCGCTAATTAGCTTCATGTCTATTCTTCTTCTTCTTCTTTAATAAGAAATTTCGACTGTAATTCTGCGGCTCAAAGAGGAACCATTTTTTGACTCTGGGTGAATTGTTCTTCATAGGGTAAACTGGCGATCTTGTTTGCTGGAGAAAAAAATTACAAAAGGCAAATACATTCATGTTCTAGCTAATTTTAAAAAGGAAATTTTCCTAGGAAATCGGAAAAGGAAAGCATATTTTGTAATTTAAATTGTATTAAAAATAAAACAAGGGTTATTAGATGGTAAAGATGCCTCAATATTAGGAGTCATTTTATTTAATAATTACTTTCGACTGTAATATATATTTTTATTAGAAAAAAAAA